GTGTGAGGGTGCCCGAGCCCTGGCCCAGGCTGCCCAGGGAGGCTGGGGAGGCTCCTGCTTTGGAGATCTCCCAACCCGCCTGGATGTGACCGGGTGCRCCGTGCTCTGTGTGTCCCTGCTGGAGCAGGGGGCTGGAYGGGGTGATCCTTAGAGATCCTTCCAACCTCAACCACTCTGTGATTCTGTGATTTATCTACTCAGCAAAGAGTGGTTACTCCCAGGGAGACCTACATAATTTTAATGATTATTTCCCACGTGATGTTGCTGCAGGGTGGCTATGGAGTGCCAGGCTCCTTCAGACTCRCACCTGAAGAGTGGCAGATATTAGGCCAGGACAAATAACTGTCTGCGAGCAGCAGACGCTGGGCAGGCGCGTCCGCAGCCCGGTGGATTCCCTGCAGCCGGGCCCGGAGACGCGACGGCCGAAGCCGTGTGGGCGCCGCGGGGAGTGGGCGCCATGGGGAGCGGGCCCCGCTGGGCGCATCGGGGTGCGGGGACAGCCCCATGGGCACGGCCGTGGGGACGGCAGCCCGCACAACCGCGACGGAACGGGCACTTCCAGCGCTCTGCCTCCACCACCGTCASAGCAAAACACAAGGAGCTCCGGCACGGAGCACCGTAGCAGTGCGACTGCTAGCCCACGAGTGCATTAGCAGCCCTGAGAAGCATTAAAAACTATCTATGCAACAGGGAGAGTCATCATGTGTTCGGCCACACATATTAAGAGAAGACACGTAGGTGCTTCAGCTCCCCAAACCCAGCAACTTATTGTGGAGTGCAGATGGTTGCAATGCCATTGAAATCCTGTAGTCAAAAGTTTTAAAGACTAGAGAAATAGGAAATAAAAATAGGTACAGTTGGTTATACAGAAAACGGGTGGACCAGGACTCAGCATGAAAGCGCTGCTGAAGRGTTCTGTGAAAGAAAACACAGCAGGAGGGATCTTCAGTTAAGAGCGTCCAAGGAATCAAAGACCTGAGGAGCAGGGAAATGGGCTAGACAAGGACAGACTAAATGTGACTCACAGACCCGTTCCTTGTTGCGGCGTTGCAGAAAGGTCCGCGTTGGGCAAGGGGCTCTACAGGGCAAAGCTGGAAAAGTGGCTCCTTTTCGAGCTCCCTAAGAGCTAAATAAGCCCTGCGGGTTATTGTATCAAGCTGTCAGTGAGGGTTTTAATAAGKGGCTGCAATTACGTGGTGCAAGAACGAAGCGGAAGAAGCGTCTGCCCGCGGGGACCGCTGTTTTCACCAGGATGAGCGGCAGTGAAAGCAGGAGGCACAGGCAGGACGGCAGGAGGGCAAGCGGGGCTCTTTCTCAAGGGGTCGTCTTCCTCTCTCCAAGGCTAGGAAACGCCCGTACTGGGAATATGAGTGCCAAAACATGGTATTTTCAGTGGATGACAAAAGGAAGAGCAACGTTTGCCTCTCTGCCGGGGAAGGGARACATGCAGAAATGCAGGGAAGTCGGAGGTAGAGCAGGATAGAAGCGGGAATTCAAGATATCACCCTCAGATTCAAAAGATCAGGTGTAAGGTGTAAGTGGAAGGACAGATTAAAATAGATTTTTCAAGACCTCCTAGGGACGGGTCAACAAAGTGGCCCCAAAGAAGTTTGCTCCTGAAGGACTAATCAGAACCCCAGATTCTCCTCGCTGTTAACATTCCCCTTTTCTGTAGACATCTTGGCTATTTCATTATTGCTTGTGTATTTATTCCAGAGCTTTGCTTCTGGGTGCGGGTGARTCTGGAGCCTGGTCTGTTTGCGTACGGCATTTGTAGCCTCGGGAAGGAGGTGCCGCTCCATCACGGCACCGCCAGCGGCACGGGAGCCGGAGGCCACGGCTGCGGCTCCGGCAGGAGGCCACGTGGCTCCTGCCAACGCCATGGTCCCCTCATGTGGGCCATGCAAAGGGCTGTCCTACTGAGGACAATAAAGGTGAGCAGATTGCAGCGCGTGAGAACACGGGTGTTCGCACACGGGAAAGAAGCGGTCACCTAAGGCACCGCTGACGGAGGGACCTGAGCACCTTGCTTGTGTTTGGAAGGGACCACCCTTCTGCTACTGGCGTGTTTCATTTCCTGCCTTGTTTCAGCATCGTGAGTCCTCCTCGAAGACACGGACACTTCATCATGTCCCAGTTATCATGACTAGTTTGTTACCACGGGGCAAAGCAGAGTTTTCAAATGAGAGCAGAAACACAGAGCACTCTTCACTAGAGGGCCTCCCTCTTAACCACGCGCTGCCCGAGACTGACAGGCCGGGGTATTTTGGACATAGACCAGGCTGCAGCTTTGGCAATGACAGAGGGAAACCAAAGCCGTCATGATAAGGGCGGGATCCCAATGCAAAGAGTGTCCGTGTGCCCCATGTCACTGCTGCCGGTGTCAACACGGCCTCGGCGGCAGCTCCGCACACGCAGAGGAGCCCCCAGTCACRGGGAGATTGGAGCCCCCAGTCACAGGGCTCTGCGGCCACGGCCAAGCACAGGATGGYTGAGGTTGGAAGGGACCCCTAGGGATCCCGCAGCSCAGCCCCTGCTCCAGCAGGGACACCCAGAGCACGGGGCAGCCGGTCACATCCAGGCGGGTTGGGAGATCTCCAGAGCAGGAAACTCCGCAGCCTGCCTGGGCAGCCTGGGCCAGGGCTCRGGCACGCAGTGTTGCCACCAGACCTTTCCTGGGTCTTGGCAATGCAGTCACAGCAGGAGTGCAAAGGGACCAGCTCCCACCTGGAGATAGGGCAGTTCAACTTCCCCTTGCCATCAACTTCAGCCCCTGGCGCAGGGGACATGAGCGGGGTTCTTTGGGCATGGCCAGGGGGTGTTTTTTGGGCACCTTTGACTGGCAACTTAGGTTGGAGCTTAGGCTGGACCAGCTGGAGGTCAATCCCTGCACATGGCAAAGATGACTTACATAAAACCCGAGCCCAATGGCTCGTGCTCCTATTCATTTCTTCATAAATTACGAAAGGAGCTTGACATATTTGTCATACAAAATAGCTTTCCTATAAGTTAAAATTTCATGTTGTCTCTCTCCAGAAAGCCTAGTCTGGACAAATTCAGGCGTGAAAAACAACCAATCCAGAGAAATTTTTGCCCCCTGCTTAAGAACTTATTTATTTATTAACATATTTCAGTAACAAATGACCTCTTTGGAGAAAATATATTTTTTTAGGTCTCCTGAAATACCAGAATCGGTCAGGGTGGCATAGTTTGCAGTGAACATGAGGTTCTTAGAAACCTTTAAATAGAAGATGAATGCTTTGTAGAAGAAAAGTACTTGATTAAAAAGGAGACTGTAAAAATAGCTCAGCCCTGAAATGATGGAGTGTTTTGGTTCCCGCTGTACACCGGGAGGAGAGGAGTGACTTGGAACCTGCTCAGTAAGCGCCAACAGGGCGCTGCGCGGCCCCAGCAGAGGCAGGGACGCAGCCTGCGGCCTGTGCAGGCGAGGCGCGCGCTGCCGCCGGCCAGCCGGGCAGGATCCCCGCGTTTGCGCCGCGCTGTAACCCGAGCTCCCCGCCGGCTGCGCACGGGCCGCCGCGGACACGGGGCGAGGCGGCGGCCGCGCCCGCCATGATGGCACCGCCCCTCCCCCCGCCATCTTCCCCACCGCCCAACGGCCGGGCCGGGGGCGGGGCGAGGCGGCGCAGCCAATAGGCGCGCGGCGGTGGCGGCGCGCGCCCGCCCGCTGCCCACTCGCGCGGCTCCGCGTTGGCCGCCCCGCCCCCGCCGTGGCCCCGCCCCCCCGCCGCCGGTGTATAAAAGGGCGGCGCGGCGCACATGCTGTCTCAGTGCCGCCGCGCCGCCGCCCGAGCCGGGCGCGCAGCAGGAGGGGACGGGGTGTCCCAGTGCGCCGCCCTCCCGGGAGCCCTGCCCGCCCCCGGCCCGTGTCCCCCGCGCCCCGCCTGAGCGCCCCCGGCTGCCGCCGCCCGCCCGCGGCATGCGGACTCGGCCCCCGCCCCCGGCCGCAGCATGAGCGCGGCCAGCGAGGGCTTCCTCTTTATCAAAGACATAAAGCCCGGCCTGAAAAACTTAAATGTCGTCTTTATTGTGCTCGAGATCGGTAAGTGCGGCCCGCGGCCCCCCTCTGCAAACACCTCCCCCCTTCCCCCCGCATTGGGGGGTGGGGGGCGGGCCTAACCGGCCGGAACCGGGTCTAACCGGCCCGGCGCGGCGCGCGGCTTCCCCGCAGGGCGCGTGACGAAGACCAAGGACGGGCACGAGGTTCGCTCCTGCAAGGTGGCCGACAAGACGGGCAGCATCACCATCTCCGTGTGGGACGAGATCGGCGGCCTCATCCAGCCCGGCGACATCATCCGCCTCACCAAGGGGTGCGTAGGGCGCTCGCCGCAGCCGGRGCATCGCGCCTCGGGCCTGGGCACGGGCCTCCCCTTGGGAAGCCACCGCCTGCCCGCCCGGCTGATTCATTCCCCTGCAGGAAGCTGCTGCTTTTAGTATTGCTGCGTACGAGTACCAGAGTCATGTTTTACAGTCCTTAGGCTCTTCTGGAGGTGAAGAAGCAACGCTGCAGAGCCGAGAGCTTCTCCATCCCCTCATTTGCTGTGTCTCCTCCCAGTAAATGGGTGCTGGGCTGCTTTTGCCAATTAGGTGTTGGTTTTGCAGCAGGGCTGCATATTAATAYCCAGCTGGCTGGAGGTGTACACAGGGTCTTCTATAAAGCAAGAGGTAAACACTTCTCGTACAGGTGATGCTGCTGGAAGTGTGTGTTCCCAGGGAGCAGGGGCAATTCCTCCTGGCTGCTGTGGAAGGCTGTAGAAATGAGAGTTGTCAGTGATGGGTAACGTGGCTTCTGCTCCTGACTGTCCTCACAGAAGGAACGTGTTTTGCCCAAAGGGCCCTTCCAGCTAGGGAAGGAGCATCAAATCCCACRGTAGCTGCCTGCTTTCCTGGCCTTACCCGAGGAGTTCACGTAGCTTCCAATACTTGTTGCGGTTTTAAAAAAAAAAGAGAAAACAGCAGGGGGGTGTCAGTAAAGCTCTAGTGCAGTAGAGCTGGGCGCTCTTCTTGGTGGAGCCCACCAAGAAGATTGCTGTTGCTGATGTGGGTRCTCGTTGGGGTGGGTGTCTCATCGCGCACTCGCAGCGGCACCGTGTGTCCTGTGCTGAGGAAGCCTGTGTACGTGTGTGTCCCTGGGCAGGTACGCCTCGCTGTGGAAGGGATGCCTGACGCTCTACACGGGCCGAGGCGGCGAGCTGCATAAGATCGGCGAGTAAGTAGCGCTCGAGCGCGGGGCACAGCCGTGAGCACGGGTAGGGCTCCGGAGAGGGGTGAGGGGCCTCAGCACCTACATGGGTAAACGTGCTGCCCTCCTGAGACGGGCCTGGGCTTTCTGAGAGGGGAGGAAGCAAATAACCCTCAATCCGCACTGCGGGCTTGGGACAAACGGCCCCTTCCATGTGGTGGGAGCCCTGTTGGTGTCAGGGAGGAAGCTGGATGAGCGCTAGCTAAGCAGGGGCCAGCCCCTTCCTGAAACTCTTTGCACAGCCAGGACGTGACCCTTGCTGGGGCTCAAACCTTCAATCAATGTGCAGCAGGAAAAACAGTAACCAGAACAACTCCCCTGTGACAGTGTGGCAAAGAGCATGGCAACTGCTAGGGAAGCAGGTGTGTGGGGCGGCGAGACCTCGTGCTGCGCCTTGAGGGGCRCCCTGCAGGTTTCCTTGGCCAAGTCGTGGGCTCTCGGGGGTCACGCAGCGGGTTTAGGCKCTGGCAGGCTGCACAGAGGGGAGTCCTCGCCTAGATCCTGCTTTGCAGCAGGCAATGGGAGGTGCATTTCTGCCGAATGAGTCCAGGCTGTGTCATGATCCAGATCTTCCYCTCCGCCTTCATTGCCACGTGGTTAGTCAGTGTGCCATGACACTGCTCCYTTACATGGAAGAGGATGCTCTGAATTTCCTTCTGTTCTGGTCTCCTYGTCCCTGTTATGTTAATGGGGTGCCCCATAGCGTGGACTGTTTCAGTTCTCCCTAGGCCCTGGCTGGGAGCAGGCTCGGTGCTGGGTCAGAGTGTGAAGGGAGGAAGGGAAGCTCCTCGCTTCTGTTTCTTTGGACATTTTCCTCCTAGGGAAAATGCCTCCTTGCTGTGCTCCTTTGGACCCTCACCAGAAGAGATGTCAGCTTTGCCCCCAGGCTGGAAGGGATCTCCAACCTAAACCTTTTAATTCCTGTAGATGATCTTTAGACAGCTGGGATCTGCCCTAGTGACCTCCTGGGGGGGGGGGCGGGCATTGCAGAACATGTGCTCCTGAGGTATGGAGCTGAAAGCTCTCCCATTAGAAATGACTCCTCACAAGCCCGATTTCTCCTCAGGTTCTGCATGGTGTACTCAGAACTGCCCAACTTCAGTGAACCCAACTCGGAGCACCTCAGGCAGAACAAACTGGTATGTTGAACTTGCCCAGGGCACCTCCTTTGCTCTGAGTGTTTCACACCAAGCTCTGATCAGACATGTGACTCTTGGAAAAAGGGGCTTCAAGAGACATATAGATAAGCAGCATGTCTAGCTGCTGTAGGAACACAGGGGGGAAAAGTGGTCTTTTGTTGTAAAACTGCAAAGCTTTTCTGATCCGTGTTTTTCTGTTTGTTTTTCACACTTCCTCTGAAGGCACAGGGTGAGCAGAATAATAACACTGCATCAAGTAATATGGGTTCTTGTACTTTCGGGCCACTGGGTAAGTTTGCTTTCTTTTGTGGAAGTGAAAGGATCAGAAGCACTTGATCCTTATTAATGGGAATAAGAAAGACCCTTTTTTTCTTTTAGAGCAAAGCAGAGCTTTGCCCTACAGTAAAAAGATTAACTGGGAGCAGAAACTGCAGGTGCTGCAACCATAACTGAGCGTTTCATGTGCAATGGTAGTGGCTGCAGGAGTTCTCCCCAAGGAAAGGAGGCTATGCRGTGTGCCTGCATCATAAATAAAAGGGACTTTGCTAATCCTAARTTGTCCTGGTGCTTTGGAAAGTTCTTGCAGCACTTGAAATTCCTCTTATAGAGTGAAGTACCAGGCTTTATTTTTCAGCCCCCTGGAAACTGTGGCTTTAAAAATGACTTGCATTTGGTCTAGCTAATTACCATGGCTTTCCTTCCATGATAACCCTCAGATTGAAGGGGCAATTTAGTCTAGCGTGTGACCCGACTGCATGGTTTGGTGACGTGCTGTGTCATTGAGCAATGAGACTTGAGGCAGGAAGTGTCTCAAAGGCCTTGAGTGGGCGGTGGGTGAGCAGGGAGCTTTGCCTTGGGCTGGCCCCACGGTGCCTGTGCTTGGCCTGCAGGGTCACAGCAAAGCCGGCAGCTGCCTATGGCTTGGAAAGGTCCCCGTCGCTCCCACTGGGGACTCGGCGCTTCCCCCTTAGCAACAYGACCATCGCTTCTCTTATCTTAGTTCCTTTATGAGCCCTTTCTGTGTCTGAAAATAAATGAGCAGTGGAGGGTTGTTTTGGGGCCAGCCTTAGTGGCAGGGTGAGTCTCGTGGCCTGCCTGGTGTGTCACCTTGTCTGCCACGTACTCGGTCTCTCCCTGGGCTGCGCACACCTGCGGAAACCTGCTCTTCTCCTTGGTGCAGACCTAACTGCAGGGCTTTCCCGGGAGCTTCCTTGGGAGCAGTGTGCGCTGGTTGCAGTCACCCTGGGAAGCGGTGGGAGCTGTGACGAGCTCTCCCTTGTCTCTTCAGGAAACGGCTTGCCGAGCGGAGCCGAGGCCGGCGGATTCCCCTTCTCCTACAGCCACGGCCCCTGTCCCGCAGGGAGCGGGAGAGGCAGCGCGCGGGGAGCCCTCAATCCCGTCCCGGCCACCGGCCCTCAGCCCGCCAGCCCCGCCAACGGGAGGGACCCACGCAGAGCCTTCAAGAGATGACGGTGCCAAACGTGGTTCCACGGCTTGCTTAAACTCTACACTCTACTTGAACACTTATTGCACTTTTGTTTATGGTTAACTGTGAACCAGATTGTCCTTGATTGTTGGGGTTTTTTTAGCCTTTTGGGCTACAGAGCAAACTCAGTGAGACCTTGCTGCCTCCTTAGGGAAGCACAGAGATCCTTCCCCGTAAGTTAAGGGGACAGAGGGAGAAATTGGTAAAAGGGGAAGGGTAACAGTTTGAAGAGTCTCARTTAAAACTCGTCACCCTTGGGTAAATGGCAGAATTTTGGTTACACGTATTTTTTTTCTGTTGGTCAGCCATATAGCCTTAAAAGGTCTGTAATGTCCTGTGTGCACACTTGTGACTTCCATTAGAGTTAGTGGGAGTTGATCCTTTTGGAGGGAAAGTGAGAGGGCCGAAGGTGTCCTTAGGATCCAGGTGTCCGTGGAATGAATGTGGCCTCTGAAAGCAATAAGTGTAAGGAAATGACCAGTGCCAGCAACTAATGGTGTTTCTCTATCAGTGGATAGGCCACTTGGATAAAAGCTGAAGCTCTGGCGAGTGTCTTGAAGCTTGAATCCTGACTCCAGAAGAGCTTGTGTACTATTTCTTGGGCCTGAATACTTAGAAGTTGTCTGTAAAACACCATTTTAATGTCCAAAAAAGCCACATCTTTTTGGTTTGGGTAGAGGATTGTGTATTCCTACTTGTTTTATGTGCGGTAGGAGGAGGATTTAAATTAAAAAGGATGCTGGGGAATRAGCTGTTAATTCTGGTGTAAAGTAACTTTGGGCTTTTACAGGACAGGAGTCTCCAGGAAGGAGTGAGTTGAGGAACTGTTTGGAGGCTGTGCATTTTGTTGAGGCTGCCTGCTCCTTCCTTTATTCCCTTTTCCAAATCAATTATGTATTGGAACAAGCTGTTTGCGTTGATTGCAAAGGTCCTGGCTGAGAAATGGCTGCACTTTTGAGGTGGTTAAGCTGCTAAGCTTTTCTCCCTCCGTTTTATATGAAATATGAATTAACTCCTAACGAATTTACAAAATGCTGTCTCCCTTGAGCAAAATAGCTGCAGTTTTATTTTTGAGATTACAAATGCCTTGACTCTAAGTGATAAGAGTTCAGTGCCACACTTCAGAACAGGCTTGGAAGCTATGGAGATATACTGGATTCATCTGTTTCTTCCTAAAGCTGACCTCTCAAATAAAAGTTGCACTAAATCTTCTCAAAAACACATCTATTTTTGTTATTCTGCCATAGAGATTTCATGGCAAAAAGCTACTTCTGAAATGCAGATTTTCCTGATTATTAATGTTAATTGAATATACTSTTAGGTTGCTGATATTTACAAGTTGTTTTTCCTTTGGTATTTGTTTTTGGTACTCTGCTATCATGATGACTTGTTGAAAAATGCCTTTCATTGATGGAAATTCCTTGTTCAGTCTGAAATGGTGAGTTTTCTTTTAAGCTCTTCCTGAAGGGAGCTCTGCAGAGCCGTGTGCCAGTTTGCCTCAGATCCAATGCCTGCGTCCAGGTGGAACTGGCCGAGTCTGCTTGAACCAAGACCAGCATGATGTGGAACATGTCATGAGGTCACCCGCTGCTGTGGAAGGACGGTGCTAACTGGTAAACTGTAGAGCAGTGAATTCTGGAGAGATGGTGTAAGGAGGTGATGTCTAACTCAGGGACTTCAGTTGCCTACTTGCCTAAGATGTCATGTGTAGAGCCCGGATGCAGGGAGCAACCTCCGTAGTGTGTGTTCTGACTCGATGGGCTTGTGAGGAGAAAGTCRGGAGGATTCCTCAACTTTCTAAAGTGCCAATGATGTGTTCTAAATGTAAATGAAAAATGGTACTCGCCTGTAGTAACTAAAGGTATTAAAAGAATGGTGCAAGTGATGAGACAGTGGGGGCTTTGTGTTCATCAGGTTTTCTTGGCTGTGGGTCTCTGAAATTCTGGTGATCTCAACTTCTCTACCTCAGAAGGGAGGCCAGACCAGTGTGGAACTGCTTGTGTGTGTGTGGAAGCACCTGGCTGCAGCTCTATGCATTTGAACCTTATTAAACTTCAATAAACAGAAATGTTGTTGACAAATACAGAATATAAAGTGAACTGATTACTGCTGGCTAATGGTATAAGGCTTGAATATTTGCAGTCAAGTGGATGCTCTGCACTTGGGAAGAGTAAAGCAAGAAGACTGTTTTTTAGGTCAGTAGCATTCCTACCTCTTTATTCTTTACATGAGTGTTTCAGGTACTAATAAGTTGTGTTTTTTTTTTACTTCTTTGCAGGGGGATCTGTGCCCKGAGGAGTCGTGTGGGCTTGAAGCCAGCGTAGCTCCTGTGGGTGCTGTGATGCTGCAGGAGAGGTCTCGTCCTGCAGGGCCTCTTGGGGCCTGTCACTGGTGTCACCCGGCTGCTGCACGGAGTCATGTGCCTGTCACACAGCCGAGCCGCTCTGTGCATGCTCTGACACTAGCCCATTCATGGGGACCCAGCACTTCAGCTGGGGAACCTCCTTGACCAGCCTCTTTGGAGGGCATTTTGCAAAGGTCCAGGTCCAGGAGTCTTCTGTGGCCCCGTTGCCAAGTGGAGAGTTGTGGGAGGGGTGCACATGTCCAGATACAAGCTGCATGAGTTGGGAGCAGCTGAGCAGTCAGCCACCACACACACAGRGCCAGTACTTGTTGTGCCTCGGGGCCTCCTGTCCCCCACAAGCCCTGATSTGTGCCTGCAGCAGTGCAGCTGCCGAGGGCATTCTACCCTGTCTGCTGAGGTCCTTCCTAGTTCTCACTCATTTCCCCTTCCCAAAACCAAAGCCTTGCCTGGTGGTGGAGGCTCTAGGGGCAGCCCCATGGCAGGTCGCACAGGTGGCCAAGGGCCTGGTGCCCCTGGGGTGGGTCCCCCTGCTCAGTGGGTCAGTTCCCGTGACCCACAGGGAGGGAATTTGGGGGAGATGTGGGAATGCACTTGGTGCCCACAGAGCTCAAGGGGATTAGAGGCTAGCTTTGGGCATGGCCAAGGGGCCAKGTAAGGGCTTCATTTAAGTGGCTGCTTTTTTTTCTGCCTTTCCTGCCCTTTTTCTTACTATAAGGGCTTCACCTAAAGCCTGCTGCCATTCCCAGCTCTAATCCCTATCCCTGTGTTCCCCCAGGGTGCGAAGGAGTGAAACATGAGGCCTTGGCAGAGCTCAAGGGAAGAGCGAGTCGTTCTCTGCTGCAAGTGCGACTGCAGAGCTCAGTGCTTCCCAGCAGAGTTTATTGGGATTGATGCCCACTGCAGGATGGAAAACCCAGTGCAGCCGCTAGCTACTGTGTATTAGACAAAAAGAAAGACAAAATGGGCTTAAAATGTTAATGGAGACCTGGAAGGGGGTGCTGGCTCTGTGGCGATGGACCCTGTTCCCGTTGTTACTTTGATTTAGGCACTAGCYTAATTTTGTGCTTCCCTCCTCCTGTGGTTGATTAATCCTAAATTTAATTTTCTGTAATCAACTTGAGCATGTAACTTGGAGAGATGAGGCTTAGTCTGATTGCAGTAAAAAAATCTACCTATCCTGATAAGCTTGAATGAAGCAAAACTATTTTTGTCTCTAAATTATGCAGTATATTCCTGGAGCTCTGCAGCCTGCTTAAATTTAACCTTTGGAAGGATTGTTTCAAATATTTATGTGTGTATATATATATATGTGTGTGTATATATATCTCCATTTTTTCCCCCCCAGATCACCTAAACTTTGCAAGTGGGTTTTTTTAATTATGAGAAACCCAGCTGCATGTCATTATTAGCATGGAAGAGTAACCAAAAGTGCTGTCAAACTTGAGCCAAGAACAGAAAGTACCAAGAAAGTAACTTCAACCCCCAGGTGCTGGGGGAACAAATGAAAATGACTCATTTTTAGATACAGTCACCTGAGGCTGCCTTTTTTTATTTATTTATTTTTTATTTTTTGCCCCTTTCCCACCCAGGGGGTAGAGTCGTGTCTCCCTAGCGGTGAGTTAGGGGACGCGGGCTGTGGCCTCGTGGACTGTGTCCTCCATCCCGCAGGTGTTTCCTGTTTCTCCAGCAAGGAGTGATTCACTTCAGCCCAGGATATGTGATTTTTTTTTTTTTACTTTTCTCTTGCGGTTCTGCTGCTGTTTTGGGTGAATTCAAGATGCCCACTCTGCCTTTTCAGCACCTGCCCCCTCCTAGGGAGGTTTTTGCTAAAAAGCAGCATTTAGTGCTCATTTTCTGTCCCGCRTAAGCTTCCTCAGCCCAGTGTTTACTTCTGGTTTGGTACCCCTTATGCCAATATTCTTTAATGTAATTCCCCTGTGTCTCTGGTATGTTGTAACTCATTTGAGGTTTGACTTATTTCTCTMTCTCTCTTTTGGCTTGTTCCACCTCAGTTTTGTATAACCAACGTAATTCACCAGCCTGACAAATCAGATCTCCCCTTTATATTTTTATACGTACGAATGGCACCGCGGGTTGAGTCCTGGGGGCTGCGGGCCGCGTTTCACGCAGCCTTGGAGCGAGTTGTCTGGAGCACCGGGGCTCCCATGCAGCCTCCTAACAGACTTCCACATACAGGGGGGAAAGAAAAGATATGTTATTTTTTTCCCTGACTGCTGCAAATGAAAAAGCTTCTCCCTTGGGAGCAGTGGGTCATATTTATGGAAATACAGAGAGCACTTGCAATATTTATAGTCGTTACCGAAGCAATTGAATCAATTTTTTATTGATACGTATTTACATGCCCACAAAAATCTTACTGCGTAGCAGTTGAGAATACTCTTTAGATTTAGTACTTTGAAGGCGTATTTTAGTGCTGCTTTATTATCCATGGAGTGCAAATTCAGTATTTCAAGYAGGACTGTCACTAGACAGCCGGAGTTTTTGAAAAGATTTTTATTTTACATAAAGATAAATGTTGAAGATGCATTTTTTTGGAGGAACCATCTGTTCCGCGTTGACCTTAATTTTCTGGATGAATGCTTTTCTTCAAGCGCTTTGAGCCTTGTCTACATTTCATTTGCTTGGGAGTGTTTAGGTTAGTTTGTCGAACAGGAAACCAGAYATTCCAACGCAAACACTCCATTACGTTGCAAATGATTCCCTTTGTGTAACTTGGCAAACTGCTGGGTAAATATTCCCYGGCTTCCCGGGCTCTGCTGCTCGCCTGGCACGTGGCGGGTGAGCCCTGGGCGGGTGGGATCTGCTGCGCGGTGCAGGACGGGTGCGGGCGCCCGGCCTTGGCCCTGCCCTCGCATCTGCTGCGAACACGCCTGGCAAAACCCCTTCGGAGAGGCCAACGGGTGGGCCGTACAGCTGAGCAAGCAACAAAGCCCGTGTTTAAACCAAGCTCACCAAGTGTCTTAAYGCGCGAGCGTGGTCACCTTGGGCTCCTGTTACACTGACGTCTCCTCTGCTTGCAGGCTCGGCCGCCCCGGGCCTTCATCACACCCTTGGTTCCGTGCACATGTTCCCGCTCTCCCGAAGCAGCATCGTGGGATTGTGCAGGTGGGAAACAAGAACGGACTCGGTCATTTAGGTGGGAGGTGGTGACTTGCAACGTAATTCCGCTTGTGCTTGTGGAAATGGSTGAGCACTGACGCAGCAGGAGGCAGAACTGCAGCGTCAGGCTTGTCCTTTGCACCTTGGGAACGGGCCCTTGCGAGGGCGCTGTGCCCGACCCCACCGTTGCGAGGTCAGCTTGTAATTACCATTTTAATAATCTCAGCTTGATACTTCTTTTTTGTTAATCCACTCAGCCGAAGGTTTCTCTGTAGGAAACCTTCAAAGCGTGTGTCTTCTGTACGAGAAGAGCATGGAGCTGCTGTAGCTGCTATAGACCCCGAGCAGCCGGTTTTGCTCTCTTGCATGTCTAGGATGGACACACAATTCGAGGGTCCCAAACGGTCTGAACCAACCAAGACTGATAGCAAATTTGCAGCAAGAGAGCAACGGTGGGACAAGTGAATGAACAGCTACATCCTTTTCAAAATAGACCTAAAACCAGTGCTTTTTTCCTTTCTGAAAATAATGTTTAGTTTTGCAATCTAAAAATATACTTTYGTTTACTTTTCCCCAATTTCTTAAGAAAACATATCATTTTAGTAGCATCATTGCAGTAGAAGTGTGCTAAAATAACTTGGAGGGCTTTCATCGTGTTTCTGTGGCTAGTGCCAGTTACGGATTATATAAATAATGATTTTGAGATACAGCAACTACCTCTATGGGATGTAAAGAAGGTATTCTGCATATCCTGCCCTTGCCTTGATATATATATGTATCTGTTCAGTGGAGGGCAGCCTAAAGCATTGGGGCCTAACTAGTTCCAAAACTATTTGCACAAAAATGACAGATCAAATGGGGAAATGATAGAGATATTGCTTTTGTCTGCCAGTGTGAAATAGGTGTTAGATGACGAGATTAAGGGGTTATAGAGAAAGGAACCACAAGGTGATGTTTTAATGTGATTATCCTGGTCTGCAGCGAGCAGGGAACCTGGCGCCTCCGTGGTCCGGCTGTGGCCTTGGCACCTACTTCATTGCACCGATGATGAAAAAACAACCTGTTTATCACCATTTGCTCGCTTCTTTTCTAATTGCAGATAGAAGTGGACAGATTTCTTCACCCAGCAGCAGTAGGAAGTGACCTTCGGCTACTGCTTGTTAAGAACCAAACTGCAAAACGAACTGCCTGGTGTTTGGAAGAGGGCGGCCAAAGAAGTAGCAGGGCAGGTCCCGGTGCTCCCRAGCAGCTCCCTCGGGCGCGCGTCCCGCGGGGAAGGTACCGAGTTGGATAGCAGCGTGTTTGGTTTGGTCGCAGGGTTGCTACGAAGCGCCGAGCGAATTGCCGCAAATGCGGCGCGCGCCAGGCGAGCGTCGCTGCTCGCTGTGCGGGTACGAGGCTCCGTCGGTGC